TACACTATTGAAAAAATATCATAGAGATTATTATTTCCATATCTTCAACGGTCAACAATCACAAGAGATGTGAACCATAGTAGGGGGGTAAAAATCCCCCGGTCACATGCTTCAATATTCAACGGTAAAAAATCGGAGAAAATTCGATGTCATAGTTCAAACTGTTGAAAATTCATTATATAAGTGGCAAATGCTGCGTCAATTGGGCATTTTTCAGAAACATCGAATACAGAAAAATCCAAGAATAGATACTTTACACCCATTTTATCATAGTTCTTTCAAAGTTGAGACAAACAAAACCTTCTCTTTAGCAAGACTTGGACACAATTTAAAAAGCCAGTTGATAATAGAAAGGTAACATCATATCCAAATGCTCGCAAATGCTTCTTCGAGTGCCCGTTTCTTGCTTATTTCTGCACTCCACCCTCCTGCCTTCGCAGCCTTTTCGGCTCGTAGTTTCATCTTTTCTTCATCAGCATATTCAAGTCCTAGCACGTCATGACCCGACCCGACAGGGATGGGTTGAGGGGCCATGCCTGTTGGACGTGGCTGCATAGCCCCGGCTATAGCCGGGGCATATTGTCCCTGAGTGCCAGTTCCTGTCCCTTCTTGAGAGCTTGAGGACTGCATTGAAGTTAAAGCTATTTACAAACGTGTGTGAATGCTAGAAATCCAGAGAAAAGGGGTAAACATAAAAACCCATATGCGAGTGAAAAGCCAAACAGTTGAAGGTTAAATACCCCGTTAAATCATTGAGCTGATATATTTAAATATATCAGAATTCTTCAGCTCCTCACCTTCATTTTGATTTTACAGAATAAGAATTTGAGAAATCTTCCAGTACTCTACAAATGGCTTAAGACTTGATATATGAGAAGGAGATTTTAATTAATGAACATCGAAGTGTCATAAGTTTGCATCCGATATGCAGAAGTACAAGTCCTCGTGTCATTTAAAGAAGACTATCAGCAAAAATGAATGACAGGATAGGTTTCACAAAACACCTTTCTTCAGTAACCGGGATTTAGCATCATAAACCTAATTCTGATAATGTCAAAACTCCCCCAAAAAACTAAAAAAGAAGGAAAGGAAGGCAAATAGAAAGAATGAAGCAAAATTACTTAGAAAAAACCAGTCGACAACACTCCCCTCTTGATAGTTACCACTTATCCCGTATAATGGAATAAGTAATCTTAAAACAAACATTGCCAAAAGAATTATCGAATTCGTGAACGTATAATGGTTGACATGTCAGAAACCTGGCTTAAACAGGAAGCATATACCAATTTCCCTTTTTGTTGAATTTGCAGGGCTGGGGCACATAGGCCTTGTGATATCCAGGGGTGAAGAACGCTGAAGGTGACTGCAATGAGCAGCGGTCTAAACAGTGAGTAAACACTTGAATGTGGGAGCAAGGGATCACCAGATGAGTGGATGGGGTCAAAGAAGGGAGTGGAGCAAGAACCATGCTTCCAAAGGAGTGGTTTAAGAGTGTGTCTGGGAGTGATTTTGTTAATCCAAAATCAATTTTTGGGTCAAATCACAAGGGCCTACTGACAGGTAAAGTGTTGCACGGTTTCTAGATAAATTGGAAAAGAATGACCATGTTATCCTCCATGTGCAAAATTGGAAATTTTCCATGAGGCGTGTAATGAAGAGGGTATATTGGGAATTTGGAGTGTCATGGTCTGACTTTGTTACTGCAGTGCAATGTTGTCAGATTATGTTCAATTAAAAATTCATTAACGGTCCAATTTTTGCTCTTTAACGGTCCGAATTGTAATTGACCGTGCGCCCAGACAAGCTCATTATCTTATGTGAACTGTTAGAATAACTAATCCCAGCCATAAGGGGTTATTCTCCAAACGAGATGGGACCAAGCTTTTAGGTTTTTCAGGATGGTTAGGTGACGGATAAACCATAGCAGTACTCCAGGATCATAGGTTTGACCTCGCAAACTGCTAAATTTTCAGCTTGCATCAGAACAACAGAGAAAAATTCTTTTGTCGCAATTTCGCTCATGATATAAGAAGAGCCAAATAGATAACAGCATAACTGTTAATAGTACTAAAACTGAAAGAAAATGAAGCATAGAGAGAGAATCAATGATGATAAAAAAAATTCTGTGACCCGATGCCAACTGAGAAAAGGCCAACATAAGCATTGCATAAACATTTAGATTCAAGTAAAAGAGTAAATCAACAATTAAAATGCAGAAAGATCTGAAATCCATGAGATAAACTCACCAAATCAACACCCGTCTGTGCAGGTTGTCCCTTGCTTGCTGCCAGAGCTGCTGCATATTCTTCAGCCTATTTGATTGAAGAAACAAACATATATCATATAGCATTTCGATCGAACTAACTATTGTTGGAATATAATGTTATGCAAAGACAAATTTG